AAGCTTATTGCTGTAAACGCAAGGTAATAACTGAAGGTGACCTTGATTAGCTTACCACAGTTTTAATCAACTAATCTCTTCACTCCTCTATATTGTAGCAGCTGGAAATAAATAAATAAACTGAAACATTTCTCCTTAGTGCAAATTATACCTGTACAAAATGCTAACACTTCATTGTTTCTGTTGGACTTGGCTAGCCAGTTAACATACTATGGAGTCCCTGAAGTGCAAGATAATATTATCTGGACACAATTTATTATCTTGTGTGCACAAGATAAAAGCATCTATCAAGAGTAAGTACTGTGTAAGTTGAAAGAAAGTTGTTGTCTTACTTAATATATTGCTGGCAATGGTAAGAGCATACATCATGCAAGAGAAAGCACAAAACATTTCACTGAAGAGGTATTTTCCTTTTCCTTTCCTGCTCTATGATTCTCCAGTTGTTTCAATTAAGGCTCTTTGCAAAGTGTTTGTTGTGGAAATATATGTTGGGAATTGGGATGAAGACAAAAAACACATCATGCAGTTCTAACAGAACAGTTATTAAAACGACTGAGTCTCTCAAAGTTATCAACAGGGATTACTTACTAGCCTACATACCAGCACAACTGGTACACACACACACACACGGAAAATAACTCAACAACACGCAGGCAACCTGTCAAAGTGAAAGGAGCTAATGTCGGAAACAAAGGCCCCAGAGTCCTGGAATATTCATGACACCGTGACAACGGTGAAAAGGTTGGTGTGAAGGAGAAAACAATCCAAAACCCCGGGTACACGGCAGCAGAGGACGCCATGACCCAGAGGTACCCTGGTCAAATGCTGCTCTCTCTCTCTCACACACACACACACACACACACACACACACACACACACACACACTTCACAGCTACACACTGATGAGACACCCACAGCTAGGCACTCAGTCATGACTCATGCCATAATAGCCTTCCCACCAGCAGCGAGCAACCACACATAGAATAGTGGAGTTCATCACTGTGGCGCATCATCCACAGCTTCTGCAGGATGGAAAGAGTCGGGCCTGAAGAGGCTTATGATGACAAACACAACAGTAGAAATGGACTCATCGCTCACACCACAATGAGCACAAAACTCCCACTGATGAAAAAGCTGTATGTGCACACAATGGATAGCGTGTTCGTAATACTGGTAACAATCCCTCTTGCTCAACCTCAGCTGACTCAAGAGGTAAAAATGGTTCCCTAAACGGTCTCCTCGTGGGATCAGTTGTTGGTCCTCAGACTATCAATAACCAATGCATCATCTTATTTACATCAAATAAAAATGCTAAAGTCACCACAGTGTCGTGTGGCTTGGTCCGAGCCACTGTTTGTTTCCCATTTACAGAGCCAGGGCTGTGAACAAACACTGAAGGATAATGACTGAATATGACAAAAAGACATGTATTGGATTGGAATAGCATACCCCACCTATAAACCCTAAAAAAGGAGAGGAGAGGTAAGCAAGGCTACGCCTGAGCAATCATGTCAATTCCTCTAATGTCACGACATAACACCCAAATGGACCTTGCATACCAGCCTGACAATAAGCCTAATCTCCCAGATTGTGAACTCTTTCCATTAGAAAGTAGTGATTCTCATTTTTAGGGGCCCATTCTGTCTACATTTGTCTATAGACAGTTTTGCCTTTTATAAACCAAGGAAATCTCCCTCTACCACTCAAAATGTCTACATTCCCCTGAGACTGAGGATGTGATGCTGTTTACAGTCTGCAGGACTGTTCTGTTGTGGTCTTGTGAGATTAATAAGCAGCCATTTACTCTGTTATCATGATGGTATTGAATGCATATACAGGGGTCATTTCAGAGCAAAAACATTTTGAGGATCCAAACGTGTAAAAATGATCAACAGTGTGGGAGATTTTTTGAGGACTTGCGGTAGATCATTGTAGATGACCTTCAAGATGGGTTTGTTTTCACATAGCTAAAAAGACAAGAAAAGACACTCCATCGTTGCATTTACAACTGGAAAAAATTAACCAATAAATTGATCAGAAATGACAATTTTGAAAATTGATTCACTGATTTAAGTCATAATTCAAGCAGGAAAACCAAACATTCACTATATCCAGTGTGAAGATTTGTTGATTTTGTCTGCTTTTTTTTAATTGAATATAATGAATTATTAACCGTTTTTCAGACAAAATATTTATTTAAAGTCAAGATAAGTAAACAGAAAGTGGGTGTAACAAACAAGAGTAGAGAAAGGGCAGAGGAAAACAAGAAAGGTTATGTGGAATGAAGAAGGAAAGAAGGAAGGAAAAAGAAAAGTAGTTAAAGGAAGACTCCAATCTCCATCTGGGAATGCATTTTCTCTGTCACAACACCAGTTTGAGTCTCATTCTTCAACTGAAAGACCTATCATTACACTCCTGTGTCAGAATATCTCCCAGCTCCAGGTTTAAGCTCTGCAGCTTAGTCTGACCTTTAACCTCTCTCTTTTCAGGGAACAAAGTAGAGAGACTCCATCCACCCATACTTGTGTGCATCTGTGAGTAGAATAGGATCCCTCTGTCTGGCTGGGGGCCAGGGTCCTGTCGATAATCTAAACATGTCTGTGATGTAAACAAACACACATCTTGTCATCTAGTCGCCCCCAGGGCCTACCTGAGTTCGACCTTCTGTGAAACACATCATCAATACGCTCTCACATAAGTAAAAACACACAACAAACACACGCCAACAACTCAGCTGTGTAATTTACTACTAACAAACTCATCCTTGCACATGAAAAGTCACACGCAATGCTTCTTCTAACTGTTCATGTTGCACAAAAAGGGCCCTCTCAACTATTTTATGTCATGCATGCCTCAGTGCACTTGTCTTGGCCAGAGGAGGAACAGCCAGTGCAGACTTCTGAGTCAATGAACTGTAAAGATGTGGTGCTGCCTCACTCACACAGGCTCGTCCTATTCACAGGCAGCATTGTGGAGCCGTATGTCCTCTGCAACCGTTAAGTAAGAAGCTGAGCTGACATGTTGATACCCAACACATAAAATGTAGCTGTGTAAACACACCTGCAATGTGTAGGAATAACCTGCAGTACAAACTATTCCTGGCTTATGCTGATGAAGCAGAATGAGAAAGACAGCAGACAAAATCTAACCTGTGCATGATAATCATAGTCTACTATATTTGCAGCGGTGCAGTGGAGTTTATTTGGTGATGCTGATTTGACATTCTGACACCAGCACTTTTACCGTGACATCACCACGACAAGAGCGGGATTGGCTGACCGTCAGACAGGTCAGTGTCCGCTCAGCGCCCCGACCAATCAGTGCCAGGACAAAGAAGATCAGATGACAAGACAAGCCCAAAGACAGATGACATCACAAGTCTTCTAGTCATTTCCTGCCAATGTTGATGCTAATGCTGCTGGGGGCATGCACAATCACCCACAGAAACACTCATGCATTGCCTCTACACACACATAGCACAAGGAGACAACTTAAGTGCTAGGACAATAAAGTGCATGCCACTCATAGGTTGTGTGCTGCAGACAATGAAAATCTTGCCTGTGGCATTGCGTAAGGGTATGAAGGACAAAGCATACATAAACACCATTAATACTTTACTAAGTCACTTACTGGTTCATTCCAGTGAGTGACTAATTAATCACAACTCAGTCAAGACTTTTCTCACCAAGCACAATCAACTTTGCGTTTGTTTGTTTTTTTAAGAACACAAACCGGTCCACCTGCATGCTAATGAGCTTTTTAAAGACAAGTCATCTGTGACCTGCAACAATTATTGTGACAGCTCTCATTTCCTAATACCCCGTGTATGCGCTGTCCACCTTTGAGTTTAGTATACAGGCAACCTGCTGTTTGAAACAACAGCTGAAGGTGAAAGTGTGCTCTGTTGTCACTAGCAGTTTAGTAGGTGGGAGGATAACAGCGCTGCAAGCTTCAAGCCCCCCCCCCAACAAACAAGGAAGTAGTCCAATGAAAGCCCCTTGAGGGACAGTGGAAAATAATAAATAATACATGTAAAACAGTTCAAACTGAAGGCTGCCCATAACAGCATGAAATTAAAATAAATGGGACCATAGACAGCAAGTGGTAGATACATTTAACAGATAATGAACCACTATTACATTAATTTATCGCTTGGTACATAAATGGTGCCACAAAATGATCTTGGGTTGTGTGCTGAGGGTCCATTTGGACTGTGTGTGAAGGGGAGGGACGGTAGTGAAAAGCCCATATAGGCAGGGTTTACCCGCTTGTGAAATATTCGTGACAAATTAAAATCTAGTTATCTGGCGGTTATATGATGTATGTGTGTGTGTGTGTCTTTATTAGCTATGTGACTGGAAGATTATTTGCCTTTAGGGGGACGCTGTCATTGTTGTTTTAGGCAATCAGACTCAACCACTCTTCCTGTTCAACCTTGCTACAACTATTAAGGTGCATAAAAAAATTGCACATCCACAGTGACGTCATGTCACACACGCACATCAATTATCAGTGTAACTGTTAATCTCGGGTGGTTTTTTTTTTATCTTTACTATCAAGTTGACTATCTTAGTCAGTGTGAAGGGCACGAACGAGAGAGAAAAGGCGCACTCCCGTCTCTGTCTTCACTGAAACAAACAAAAATAATCTGCTAGGAAGTGTTGAGGGATTCTCAGCTAGCCCTTCGCTAGCTAACCCAATGTTAGCAAGTTAGCTGACTAGCCACGTCTCGGGTCAGTAAGGGTTACGTCAACTGAAAACGCAACTGACAGTCTGACAGACAACAGGCATGGGAGCTAACTCAATAAATCGCGAGCGGAAACGTTCATACCAACGTCCAGCAAAGATTACACTTGGTTTTGTACCGGTAAACTTAACATTTGAGGTGATAGCTAAATTAACGTTAACGTTAGCTAACGTGTGTCTGACAGCTGAATCCCTCCGTCGTCCTTTTTTCTCCACTCACGGTCTGCTAACGTTAACCGCCTTTCGGGACTGACCTGGAGAGATGCTTCAGGATCTGCTTCTTGATGAGCCCAGCCATGGCCCCACAAATCCGATAACCGTCTGAGCTGTCTGGCTAGCTGGCTAGCGACACCGCTAGCGTTTCCCACCGGAGGTATAAACACACAGCTCAAATTCTCATCCCCGTGTCAGTCTTCATTTTAACGGTGCTCCTGCGTCATTCTCTGAGAGACGGGGGAGTTGGAAAGACGGCATTTCAGACGTCCGAGTGACAGCCGGGCTCGGAGACAAAGCATATCACCTCCAGCAAGCTCCAAAAACGGTCCAGATCTCTGCAATATCACACTGAACACCTGGACAGCGCGTCGGAGGAGCGGCGTCTGTTGTCACGGCGTCCGGGCGTGGCGTCATGACGCATTCAGGGTCTGCTAGGAAACCCCACCGACTTAGAGCTATGGATTGTGGACTAGGTACTAGACTAAATGTATTTATAGCCTATGTATAGATACTGGAACCTTTTAAATACTGGTAGCCTATACACGGGAAACATTTTAGTTTCAAGTAAGGTGGTTCTCCTATTAATTCAGTTGTTTTATATAAGTTTAAGTTATCAATATTCTCTGTTTCAATACCCTGGTTACTCTGTCCAAATATTGTAGTTTTTAAGAATTGTATCCACTCCACATCAACTCTACCAGTACTCATTAATAATATTAATATTTAATTCTCTACAAACTATTTATCATGCCACTACATACTTATAGGCTATGTATATGTAAATTTGTCTCCATTCCATTTGACTATTTCTGATAATTCTGTTAAATACATTACATATCCCACTCCTTTATATTGAGATTTTAGATTTAGATTTTTAGATTTGTATAGTTCAGTAAATTTTTTTACCTACCTACTTTCTTAGTTATTTCTATTCCTTAATATCTTGATATACAAAATGAGCAACTGTTGCAAAGAATCAATAAAGTATTTCTGATTGTGATTCTGATTTATACCTTCTGTCACAACACAGCTGAATCAATAATTTAACCTTTTTGGGACTACACATTTGGTCAAAGCTTTTGGCATGACTTTGAAAAACTGACTTAATTTGACTTTTAAAATAGAAATTCATATTGAATTTATATTATTTAGTTTTCGTACTGACAAAATTTAATGTGTGACATCAATCGTATTTCTTTGTTAGCAAAATGACATATACACTCACATATTTCCAAAATAAAAAGGCAAATTTACTTTCTTCATGTCTTTTCTAAATTTATACCTTGATACATTGAAACTACTGCTCCAAGGTTTTGAAAGCTTATGTAACCAATTTGGTTTGAAATTGATTTGTTTATTTGTCTCATATTAGTGTGGTATTGTTATTATTTGGGTAGGCTACTAGCTTAACCAAACAAACTCTTATCATTTTTTTTATGGTAAACCTGATGGAGTTATATTTTGCAAATAAGGTTGTTTAAAATGCCTTCACACTTGGCTGGTCTGGGTCCTTTGTTGAGATAATCGTTTGACACAGATACTGCATTGTGGGTGGCTTCAGGGGGGTTAATGTCAGCGTTTGCTTTCACAAGAAAACGCTCTTTTAGTGACATCTAGTGTTTAAACCGAGGATGTAAACAGAATGCAGAATAATTGAGAATTTTTGCATGCACGGATGGTTTCTTTTTGTGGGTAGTAGGCAAGAATAAGCGTGATAATTAGAAAAATAACTTCTTACAAAAGTTAGAGGGAAAGTGCACATGAGAATAAAAGTCCCACAGAAATATAATGGAATATTATAACAGTACAGATAATAAGGCCTTAATAAATTAAATAAATATCATACACACAAAAAAAGAAAAGGACAGTGAAACGAACATTGTGTTCATTGACTTGCAAAAAAGTACTGACTTAAATACAAATGCACTGAAACGACTTGGACTTTGGACGTTTTATTTCTTTTCCTGTGGACATAGAAGCTGTGACTTTAGTTGCTGTGCCTGACGTGTCTCTCTGTGTGGAGATGTAACCAGGAGATTCAACAGCAGCCTGCGAAGCCGAGACTGCAGCTGCCACGTATGAAAGGAGGAGCAAACTAAAGGGAGGAAACAGCCCCTCCCTGCACTGCTCTGCTTCAGTGTGAGCAAGCTGCTTGCAGAACGTTTGCATCAGTGTTTCAATCGTAACAACATCTAAGGACGTGTGTCATAGCTATAACAGATGTATAACAGACGTTTACACTAACAATAACACATACATTGATAGACGATGATGCCCTTTCGGTGCAGCGTTTTGTCCCAAGGTGGTGCATCTTATGTCCTTCACAGCAGGGACATTTTCTCTCTTCAAGTCACTTTAAAAGTCAAATTAACATAAAGTTCATTTGATAGTAACCTTATTATACACAAACAAACTCACTGAAGTTGCCTTAACCACCTTTTAAGAAAATTTTACTGCTTTTGCAGAGATGCTTCTGCAGAAACTTCACTCGTGTTAGGGTGTAGCCTTTAAAAAAAAAGTTTCTGATGTAAAAAATAAATAAAAATAGAGCACGACCACCAAAGTGTAGGAGCAGAAGAAATTATTAATTATTTCCTGGTGTTTTATGTCATTAAATCGGACCCCTACAGAGCCTGGAGCTGAACATGGGACAGCCCCCATCCGCATACCTCAACGCGAAAAGCTCCGTAGAAAGACACGACGCGCTCACTGATACGCTGCTGGTCCAGTCAGTGGGCCTGGACTGGAAACATTCTCCATCCACGACTGCAAAAAAGCCAGCAGCACTCGCTCTCTCACATCACTTCACATACACACACATATCTCAGTGAGTTCCCATTGACGATGACTGCGAAACACCGACACAAGAACAGCGAGAAGAGCGCATCCATCCAGGATGATGCGCCAAAGAAAAGCCAAAAGAACGCCAGTAACGGGGTGAGTGGCCCCGCACCTCAGGGGCCACGGTCAGGGAGCTGCCTCGGCCTTGTTGCGACCACAGTGTTTTATATTGCGCTACTAGGCGCTGCAGGGTTTGCTGCTTTTTATTTACAGCAAGTAGTGGAGGAAATGCACCAGACAAGCGCCAGGCATGAGGAGAGCGCACGGAAAAACGCAGAGCTGAGCAGTAAAATGGAGAGCGTCGCTCAACAGGTAAGTAGAAAACGACACGAATCAACGGGGGGGAAGTGTGCATGACTTGAGCAGGGGTTCTCAAACTTTTTCAGAACTCCCAGTGAAATACAAACTGTATGAGCAAGGCATACTGTTTTCGTTATAGAGATGACTTTGTGTGCAACTAACTTGCATAACCGTCCAAGTAGTTGTTGTACTGTATGTACTTTGGGGGGTTGGGTAGGTTTGGTGAAGTCCCTATAGGCTACTCTTTCATTGAGCAAACGTCCAACAAGTAAAAATAAAAGTTTTAGAATTGTTTAAATTAAATTTTTTTCTACATTGTTTCCTATTTTTATGTTTTCTTTTGTTTGAGAACATGAGCTGCACAGGGCAGATGAGGATGTGGTGCCTATAACAGGGAAAAAGACACCCCCATTTGTTTATTAAATTCCCTGTAAGTTAGGGGAAATTTAGATTGGCCCAGCAGCACAGGAGGTTGTAAATAAATGTCCTTGTTCAGTGTTATTGCATGCAAACTGTGGGCTTAGGCCGATATAATTGAAGACCTCTCCGGTTTCATTCATTAGTTTCCTCATTCCTGTGTTGATCTTCCAGCATGTAAAGTACAGTATGTAAAGCCAGTCTAAACTATACTGAGGCTGTAGTAAAAAATATTTACCACCACTGACTTCAGTTAGCTAATGACTCAACTCTGCTCATGCAAATTAGGCCTGTATGTGTTTGTTATGCTAATTTAATGGGTGGGACACTTCTAATAATAACAATAAGGAAGGATGATTGCAGTGTTAACCCAAGGTGATCACACACCACAGTCATTAAAAAACAACACATTTTTATCAGTTTCTTACATCTTTTCCTCTTAAGTAAGAATTTGAAACGTTATTATTACATGTTTACCTTTTGAACAGATTAATTGAAATTGCAGTTCTGTGCAAATTCAAAAGGTTTTTTTTCAGTAGTACGACTGTACTCTTCTTAAACATGGTAAAGGCTAATAAGTGGACCTTTAATTAAGAGTCTTTTATTACACTATTGCATGCTCATCTAAAGTTTGTAATTTGCCCATAAACTTTCAAACATTACACTTACTGTACAGATGATGCAACAAAATATTTTTAACATGCAAACATATGCTAAGTATCTATTTTAGAATGTTCAGTAAGTGTAATAATTAAAAGCTCAAAGGCAAGGCATAGGATTAGTAGTTTTACTAAACAAGCTTAACTCAAGGTCCACGTACAAGCATTTTTGTGAGCGTTCAACCACATGGGGTCTTCATCTGCATTCAGCTGACTGAGCCAACTCAATTTACCAGTGAAGACCATGAGGTGCCACTGAAAGCTCAGGAAAAGTAATTCATTTAGTAAGTGGAGCTTGGTGACGAGTATTTTTTTCAAACTGCAAAATTGAGGTTCTGTTTTGTTAAGAACTATGAAAATGAAATATGAATTAAATGATATAAAACAGTGTGGATATTTATTGCTGTCCAGAGAAAACCGCATATCACCAAATTTGGTCATTTTGATTTTTTAACTCCTGAAAACCTTTTGAGATACATGATTTTAACAGGACAGTGACAATTTGCAGTTATTGTACTGGAGTGTACAAGTGTTTGATCTTACAGTGCTAAAATGGATGAAAATGCACACTAATGCTGTATATTTTTCCGGTCTTGTGCAGGTGGAGTCTCTGAGGAGTGTTGTGGACGGGCTGGAGTCATCAATGGGAATCACACGGGTGGAGCTGGAGGGGGCAATCAGCCGGGTGAAGAGGGGCGAGGTAGAGACGAGGAGGGTGGAGGAGGCTCTTCAGAAGCTCCAGAACGACCTACTCAGGGACCTTACAGAGGGCATCAAAGAGGTGAAGGAGGCCCGAGAGAGGGACTTCTCTTCTCTGGAGAAGACTGTAGAGGAGCGTCTGGCTGAGGTGAGTCAGTCCATCGCAGCCAGCGTGACGGAGTTCACCCAAGCTCAGGGCGAGGCGCAGAGCCAGCTGGCTGATCTCAAGGCTCGTCTGGGTGACATGGAAGACCCCGCGCTCATCAAACAGGAGCTTTCTGCCATCGTTGATGCTGTAGTTGAAATCAGAACTGCCAAACAAGATTCTGATGCCTCAGCCGATTCACTCAGGGAGCAGATAGGTGCTGTGAGGGCAGAGCTCCAGACTCGTAACCAGGAAGTAGCCTCACTGTCCCAGGAAGTTGAAACAATGAGGTCAGTAGTGCAAGAGACTGTCAGAAGCCTGAAGCAGTCACTGTCTGAAGTAGAGGCCGGTGTCCAGATTCTAAAGGACAAGGGCATGACACTGGAAAGCAGTGTGGAGCACACCGCTGATGCTGTTCGTACTGTGGAGAAGCAGGCAGTCGAAGCAGCTGCTCAGGTCAAGAGAACATCAGACGAGCTGGAAGCCAGAGTTAAAGCATCAGAAGAGAGCGGAGATTCACTGTCCGCATCAGTGTCAGACATCGCCACCAAAGTGGAATCACTATTCGCCAAATACGACACCTATGAAAGCACTCTAGCTGCACAGGGGCAGGCTGTGGAGAAAGTCAAAACTGGCTTGGAGGAGGAGATGGAGGCACTGAAAAGCAGTTTGGGGGAGCTCCAGTCCAACATTGCCGCTCTGGGTGGTGCCCATGCCAAGCTAACTTCAAGGGACTCCAACCTGGGTGAGCAGGTGAAGGACTTGGAGGAGAGGCTCGCCGCTCTTGAGGGCAGCAACAGCGTAAAGCCGGAGCAGCTGCAGAGCTTAAGAAGCATGGTAGATGACTTGGAAGCCAAAGCAGCCAAGCTAGAAGGTCACGATCAGGCTATTGCCACTCTTCAGAAAGCTCTGCAGGACACCACACAGACACTGGAAAACTTATCCAAAGCCAATAGCAAGACAGAAAATTAGGGATTTTTAGTTAGCAGTGTGACATCAGGAACCCAAAACACGGACAACAAAGATCCCCAAAGGGATGACCATAACCCACTTTTCCTGTTTTTTTAATGAAGAATAATTTCTCATACTTGATGGTTGATGTTGCACATTTTAGTAGAAAAGTAGCCAATATGAGGGAAACTGGGTTAGGTCAGGAGAGAGGGGCAGAGTTGGACTGCTGATGTGTGAATTTGAATCCACACTCATTCTGCACTGTAGGTTTTTTCTCCTTTCTGTACCAAAGTAGTTTTTTTGGAAAACCAACCAAATGCAATAATAAGCTCCTTTTGAGCACTCCTTTTGTTTACTCACTACATGTTTTTTTACAAGAATAAAAACTTTTGTTGACCCAAAGCGGTGAGGAATTATTTCTTGGTGTCAACTGATTTGTTGCTTTGCTTCAGCTGCCTTTACTGTTACATCACTGCTGAAACTTTGATTGCATGGGTGGGAATGAAAATTTACACTCACTGATAGGCGTGATATACCCAAGGGCTGCTAAAATTATGTCAAAACCCAAATAGGAATTCCATCTTAATGACATAGTTCTTATTTTCTACAAGATTTGAATACAACAAATAACCTCTCACTTAAAGCTCCATTTATTACACAGACCTACTCACACATGAGGAGTCAAGCGATGATTCTCCACCTCTTAAAGACTGAATTCCATACGCTGAGCTCTTTCATCTGCACACTGCAGTGACAGATAACATGTCGTTTGAGTTTTGACTCTCTCAAGTGTTCTGCAGAAATGTGCTCCCTTGTTGAAAGCCTGGGGTTGCAGTTGTGTGGCCACTTCACCAGAACAACTCCAAGTTATCTATTTAGCTGGAAGGCATTTGTATGCTAATAAACCCTTTAAGGAACGTAGAGGCCCTGGGAGAGGCTTAGAAGTGCGCTTACATAGTTTTGGTTACAAACTGGAATTTCTTGAAACACGCTTGGTAAAGGTGACAAGCTTTTCTCCAGGTTAGAACATAGTGTATAGTAGTGTAAGTAGTCTTAAGGGGTCAAAACTCCAACAATGTGTTTATAAAATCATCAGGCTCTCAGCCACAAGCTGAACCCACTTTCTAATACAAGAATTGCTGGAGCTTTGACCCATACACTTATTCGCTTTCTTGTCAATATTCAGATGAGCAGATTGATTCCACTCTCTTGACTGTATAAAGCTCCACCAGTAGCCACTTAGCATAAATTCTGGAAACAGGCTCTGTCCGAAGGCAAGAAAACCTGCAAATAAGCACCTCTAAAGCTCAATTATTGACATGTTATTGTTAGTTTTATCTGTAAACCTATAAAAATCAAAGTGTAAAACAACTATTCAACTTTCTAATGGGAGAAGGGGGGGTTATGTTACTGTTATTTTTTTCAGTCTGCTAGCTGTAGCTTCATATTTACTGTAAAGACACAAGAGTTATATCTGAAAAGAAATTAAATGTTTAGCACAGTGGAAAAACAATAAAGTAGTCAAATTTCAAACAGGTAACACTGATATAGTTGGACAGTGGCCAACACAGGACACAATTGTTGTCATGAGCAAACTTCAAAAACATGTTGCAGATGTTAGAAATGCTGACAGACTAGCTGCCAGATTGTTCACACTCATTCTTCTTAAATCGGTTCAGGTTACCAGCTTTGTGCTTTAAGACTGATCAGACTGTCAGAGTTTGGTAGACAAAGTTTCATATTTATTTAATTTGTAATAAACCAGTTTGTTCTAAGCAGTAGTAGGACAGTTGGCCAGATGAAATTGCTGAATAGAAAAGCCAAAAGAAGACTACCTCTCCACTCGTCTTCTCATGTCGGCCTGTGCATCTCTCCAGTATCAGATATATCAGCTATTTCACGAACCTGTTTAGTTGTAACACCTAAATCTCCCTCTACAGCAGTGAGGTTAGCCAATGTCTGTCTCAGTTCAGTGATCTCCTGCTCTCTCTTGGTAAGATCCTCTGCCAGTCTTCCAATCCGCAGAGTCAGGTCTGACAGCTGAGGCTCAAACGCCCCAAAGTCCCTCTTAATGGCAGCAACCTTCGGTTTAAGGTCGCTGGCGAAGGTCACAGTTCTTATTAGCCGAGCTCTGCCACTCTCTAGTTCGTTCAAGCGCTCAGAGATCCGTTTGTCAGAGGCGGTGAGTTCAGGGATGCGTCTGCGAAGCTGCTCTAAGGCCTGAGAGTTGCGTTCGGATGCAGCGCGGAGATTTGATACTCGGTCAATGCTGCTGGCCAGAACATCCCCGATGCGTTTCACCATGCTGTGCTCCACCTGAGCGGTCTTGTCTTCCAGCTCCCCTACCTGAGTCAGCAGGGACTCCAGCTCAGACCGCAGGCCGTCCATCCTGCGCACGTCTGTCCTCACTGACGCCACCTACAGGGGGAATATAGAAGAAAAGAGCCTGAAAAATCCATTTAAAATCCAACAGGGAATAGTTATTTTTCTCAGAAGGGGTCGTACATCAAAAATAAGAGTTTTAACTTAGCTAAATGAATCCCCCGGGTTTTAATATACTGTACTTATGCTCATTTTGATGTTGGATGGGATTCTCTTAACCTCGGATCACAGGTGGCATAGGACAAAAAGACTCTACTCTCGTCTCAGCAGAAACAGCAATATAGTTCTGTCTTGGACAACAAAACAATCTGACAGACCTTGTTGGCAAAGTCCTTTGCAATGGCTGAGGTGCGTTCTTCGATCTGTCCCACTGCGTCTCTCAGCGCGGTTAGGCTGGTCTGAAGCTGAGCTCTTTTCTCAGTCAACCCAGAGGCCCACTCCTTCAACCGATTCACATCCTGCTCAAAACCCTCCAGCTGTGGCTGCAGAGCCCCCCGCTGGCCCCCGAGACCCTCCAGCATTGGCTGGACGCTCTGACACTGAAAGAGGACACAGAGTACATGGATATATATATATATATCATATAGTGTATGAGGTACAAGTTATTTAAAGAAACCATACATTACTCAACATCATTTCAGGTTATTTCCATTAATGAAAAACACAGGAGGGGAACTGATGCCTAAGCACAGTAGAGGATTAAATAAGAGGACATAACAAATAAGATCTTTTCAATAAAAAAGTGATTTTATTAAATAAGTTCAGTGATGAAATGTTTGCCTTTAGTTCAACAGGTTAAAATATAATACAAGTTATTAAGGCATGAAGATTTATTAATATTATTGATCTACAAAAGCTCTACCTGTACCAAACTATAAGACTATAAACACAACAAAGGACTTTTATTTGCAAGAAAAAGGACTTTTTAACGATTTATCGATGAGTTGCCAATTACTTTTATTCAACTAATCGTTTCAGCTCCAATGTTGTTATATCTGGAAAGAATGGCGCAGATATTGTCACATAACTGTATCAGTGCAAATTGGTGGCTTGAGAGTAATGAGGCATGTTTTTATACAATTACTGAAGAAACCTAAATGTGTAACTCAACATTAAACAGATACTAAATTACATTCTTGATTGTACTTGTGTAATACAGTGCATGTATACCAGGGTTCACGTTGAAATCTGTGAACTTTTATGCTTCAAAAATCACAATTTTCTCAAATGTACACATTTTGAAAAACATTAATACTGAGCTTGAACAACCTTTTACAGCAAATAGTAAGACAGGGCCCCTCCTCTTCCCTCGTCAACTCAAAAACAATGACATCATTCACTGAGGTCATCATAAAGAGGTTGAGTTGTTTCATCATCTTTTTCCCACTCCTCCTCTACCTCGCCGTCTTTCCATTCTTCTACATCAAAGGTGTCATAGTCCTTTTGGCTGTCAACAGCATTTCCCCTTAGCACCATGGTGAGTTCATGGACCGCCTCTTTAACTACAGACAACTCATTCTTCATCTTGAGGATGCTGTTTTGAGCCTGCAGGGTGTCCAGTTCCTGTCTGATCTCAAGGATTTCATTCAGTGCTTTCAGCATGCTGTCCTCAGTCCCAAACACCTGTAACGTCACCTCTTCTAGCCGTTTCTCCGCCCCGCTCAGATCACCCCCCAGCTTCAGGATGGAGCGCACTGCCGCCTCTACCTCGGGCAGGTGCTCTTCACACTCCTGCGCCCGGGGAATGTGCTCCTGGAGCTGTGAGCTGAGCTCAGCCTCCTTCTTGCTCAGGCTGCTAATGTGCTCCTCCAGGTTGTGGATCTGCTTGGTGTTCCAGTCCAGCTGATCCTGCGCTCGCTTGGCGTCGTCTTCCTCTGCGCGCTCCATAGCTCTGGCGTTCCTCTTTGTGCTGTCCTCGAGCTCCTCCAACCTCTCCGCCAGAGACCGGGCCCTCCGCTCGGCCTCGTTCACCTGCTCAGTGGCTCCTGCGTGAGCTTCCCGTGACTCTGCTTTGAGGGCAGCCAGGTCAGAGGTGATGGCAGCCAGGCGCTCCTGCCACGTCTCCGTCACATTGAGGAAGTGGGTGTTGACCATCTGCAGGTCACGGGAGGCGGAGTTCTCGTCGGCCTGCATCACCATGATGGCAGCGTGGAGGGTGGAGATGTCCTGCTGGAGTTGTGTGGCCAAGGAGACAGTGGAGAGCGCCTCCTGTAGGTCATCCTCAGAGGCGGCAAGCTGCAGCCGCAACACAAAACAGGAGGGCTGTTTCTGTGGGAGCTCTATGGTCCTCAGTATTCATATATAATAAATACAGCAGGAAACAAAGCGCATGCATGCGCAAAAGCATTAAGAAAAATGTGTGCTCACTCAGTTAAGTAGTTTTTCTTTTCAAAGAACACGAACAAAATTTAGAGTGTTTCATAATATGTAAGGCTGTGATTCCCAACACTTTTGACTCGAGACTTAAAATAAGACAAAGCTTGCTTGTGATCCCCATCATCACAGGTTGCATTTGGGGCGTGAGAGGTTTGTTTCCCTCACCAGGTTGGTCAATCTGAATACTTTTTAATGGGGCTGAATAAGTAAAACTATCACGAAAGCAAAGTTTTAAAAATACTGATTTGTATAGCAAAAATCCAGTTCCTTACCCACTGTAGCCTACGTGTTTTCTTACTAAACCAAATTAAAACTGCCTACCAAAATCACAATTTACTTGTAATTCTACCTTTAAAACTAAAAATGAAATCAAACAAAGGATTTTTGTTTTCACACAAACCTATAGCATCATTTCACCCAAATTACAAAAAGAACAATCCAGAGTTTATGTTTATGTAACAGTTTTGTCAGGGCCATTCCTTCAAGAAAGCAGTTCCAGTAAAAACTTTATTCTTTTTAATGCTGCCAGCACCAGAAATTAAATTATAATATCTCAAAACATGGGAACATAAAACCAAAATTGTCTGAATGACTTGAAACCAATAAGGGGTTAACTGAGAAAGTATATAAGATTTTTTATACTTTTTATAAGATTTCTTTTTTATGTGTAATTTGGGTGAATTGACCCTTTAAAGTTTCATCCCTTAAAGCAGCTCAAGACCTGTTCCACTATCAATCAAACGTACCTTTTTAGAAACCTTTAGGACTTCTTCCTCCATGTCGAACAGACTTGAAGTCTTCCCGTGTAAAACTCTGTACTTTTCTTCAATTTCGGAAAACCTCCCATTCTGTTGTAGCACCACCCTGAAACACAGAAAGATATACAAACTTTAGTAGAGGTCCATTAGACAGAAACTCTTTACAAATGAATACATGTATCAGGTTTGTTAACTTACCAACTAAGAGCCCCGCAGGCTGCAAGCGACAGTAAGCACAATATACTTCTAATATCCAAACTCGAGGACGTTTTATGTGCTCCTGGGATGTTTCCAGTTTCCATCTTCACTTTCTGCGCTTCATCTTTGCTATTTGTAGCGGACCTTTCAGACCCTTCATCACTTTGCTTTTGAGTCTTCTTCCTCTGCTTTACTTCAGTAGGCATTTTAGCACACTGTTGACAACTTTTACTGTGAAGGAATTCAATAGGCCCAAAAAAAAGTCTACACCGCTATTCGTTACGTTGCAGAGTAAAATAAAACACTTCTTTCAGAGTTAAGTTCATAATGTAGGACACTAAAGTAAACAAAATAAATAATTATATCTAACACTGGCTTTTACGCAGGCCTATTTTACCGCTATTAACAATCCCTTAGCTTTACCCTGTTCCTTGGAAAATGCCGGCTTCAAGAGCTCCTCGTAAGCTCGTACAAACACTTCCAGCTGAATTGCTTAGTTAAAAACATCAAACTGTGTCTGTACAAATATAACACACTGGATGGATGTTTTATCTTTCACCTCGAGTGATACAAGATTTTCAGTCGCGTTTGTCAATTTTGATTCGTCCTTAAACTGAGCTCCAAACTTACCACTAATATTTGCGACAGCGTAAGAGGCACCGTAAACGCCCCAGCCAGCCACGTCAGCGGCTGCCAGCTTTTGTCCTCAAGGTGGCCATGCAGCTTACCACTGTGAACATACAAATGTATTCTGGAAAGATTTGGAACATTTTATTAACATAAAAGAGTATACTAATTACTGTATTTGATGTTATATTTTGTACTTCATGGTCTGGACAATATTAATAATACTGTGCAGCTCCTCATCATACTTGGAAAATTCCACATCCACAAACCAAAATGAACTGGATCCAAACCCTGCTTCAATCGATTACTGCACCTCAATAGAACTCAAAAATAAAAAAGCAATGAAATGTATTAATATTCTAGAAAAACAGAATTTGAGCTTTTAGCAATGAAAAATCTAATTTATTATGTCTTTTGCATTTTTGTTACTGTAATGAAATATGCATAAAAAAGGTGGCCATGCAGCATTAAAGTTGTCTTAAAGCTGAAACAATTATTAGATTAATTGATTAGTCGATGAAAAGAAAATTCCTATTTATACTTAATTGATCGTCATTGATCATGCAAAAATATCTAACATCACTTGATTCCAACCTCTCGAATGTGAGGATTTTCTGCTTTTCCCTGTTTATACCATTGTAAATTTACTATTTGCGGTGTTTAGACAATAGCTGTGACAGTACAAGTCATTTGAAGACATCAAATTGGACTTTTTGGACACTTTACTATTTTCCCTACAAATCAAAATATTCATCAATTAAATCAGTGTTTTGCAGACACAAAATGACCAAACGAAAGAGCTTAGGCACAAGCCATTTATTTGGCATGTTTCCAAAAAATCTTACTTACATTTTGACTGTCAAAATATGTCAAAACGTGATTATCAGTAGCTTTCTATAAATGGTAATTCAAAGCCCTATACAGCATTGTATGTAGCAGTTCTCAGCCAATTATACAGTTTTTCCATCGTTATTTAAATGGTGGGTTCCAGTAGCCGTATGCTATCTTGTGTTAAGGATATGTCAGTCAGTGTGTCCTATTTACTACAAGGGCCATGCAAATTACACAAGCTACAATTAACAATGTTCAACAGCAGAGGACAAAAGCATTCTTACAAACATGAACAAAATACAGAAAGTCTAACATGGACACATCGTCAACTTAGAGGCAAAGGTTCAATTACAGTACTTTCAATCCAAAGCTGCCACGTGCAGTTTCTAACAAATTATGTTCAAAAAGGTAACTAGATGACTCCACAATATTGCAATATGAGGACATGTTAATTAGGGATCTTTGGACTAAGGCATAGAGTGATGGAGTAAACAAATATTTGGTCATCAAAGGATCTACATCTTTGACTTTGCCCTCTTTTAGTGTTTCTTATTTAACAACTCCTGAGACAGATAAACAGTACAGGAATTGCTCAGAGATATATTAATTCTGTCACCAATCGGGGCTTTAAAAACCCTTGTCCCTCTGCACAATTGAGATATCCAAAGAAGCATTTTTAGCATCATGAAAAACCTTTACCTAAATGCTAAAGCACAAGCCGGACACTTTCCCATTGCTTTAAAATTTTAAATCCAAACTCATCACTATATCATGACAGAAAGATCTGGACCTTGGCAGTATGCTACAGCAACAAAAACATCACTTTGAAGGCTTTAAAGGGATAGGTTACATTCACATTTTAAGTGGACGTGTGTTGTTGTACAGAGGGGCCTGAAAGCTACAAAAGAAGCCCGCCATCGCATCAGCAAATACTACCCTTCAAAAGTGCGCCATTAAACACCAAAAGGGGCAATGTAGAATGTCACTGCGGATGTATAAAAACAAATACCTACAAAAAAGCAGCTACAAATTCAAACTAAAACATCATAAATATGGACCCCTCAAAATTTAGTAAATCTACAGATTACAATGATGCCCATGTTCGTGATTACAACATCTTAAAGTGTCTTAATTCCAAATAACTGGATTGAGAAAAACAACAGAATTTAATACATAGTGCAACTGACCCACATCGAGCCGGGTCATCATCGTGCTTTAGTGAGTTGATTGCTTTTTTTTTTTTTCTAAAGGAATAGAGGAGAAGATTGATACCTCTCACATCTGTTTGTTAAATGTAAGGCTACAGACAGCAGTTGGATAGCTTAGCTTCGCATAAAGACTGGAAACGGTGAGAAACAGCTAGACCGGCTCTGTCCAAAGGTAACGAAACACACTTACTGTACAGATATCTCAAAAGCTAAATAATTAAAACATGTCTAATTTGTTTAATCCATACAAAAAGCCAAAGTGTTGGCAGGCGGATTTGTTGCCTTCAGACAGAGCCAGTCTTTTCCAGACTTTATGCTAACCTAAGCTAACCGGCTGCTGGCTAGATCTTCATTTTAAAACGTACAGATGTTAGAGTGGTATCGGTCTTCTGATCCAAAAATCAGCAAAAGCAAAAGAGCATATTAAAAAAAATCATGCCAACTTCATGCCATCTTGTTGTTCAACCTACAGATGCATGGCCTAAGAAAACAAAAACAAAACGTAATTATTACTAGATAACTATTCGCTAAGATAATGAAGCTTATGTACTTATGAGGCAGATTTCAATTTACTCAACTGATAGGCAATTGGTCCCCCCCACCCCCAAGGCCTCAATCAGGTTTTGGTCCCGTCTATGGAAGAGCAAACATAAGTGCACTTTGGGGACGGAAAGGACACTTTCAAACCTGTGTGAATGTCTAAGCACGAGTATGTTTACCATGTTTTTTGTCTCCACCATTTAGGTTTTTCTCACTTCATCAACTAAAAGAAATCAAATCCCTCCTTCAAAACTACAAACTTCAGACTGCTACATACAGTATTTCTAAATATTTAAACCCCAATAACCTAAAAGCAAACTAAGTAATTAACTGCAAATGAAGTTTCTTTATGACACAATACACATAGATCTCCCTTCAAGATGCCTGCAGAAAATATTGTGCTTCAGTCATCTTAATCATATCTGTATATACAAGATCTAATAAAAAACTAGATATAGATGAATACAGGGTTATTTGGGGGTACGTTTTGATGCAGAGATGCCCACAGCACTTCTATCACTCCCTGGATGAGTAACCGCCACTTGCTGACTCTGTTAAACAGAGGACGACTATGAGGGCAGTGGATCCAAGAGGAGGCTCGCCATGACTCAAGAACTGTAATGGTCCTAGACAAAAAAAAAAAATACAATATTAGAACTTGATGTTTAAGATGTTTATGAGTTTGTTTCAAGTGCTGTATTTCGTACCGACCTGAATTGAGCTAACTACGCCACTGGCCATGACAGAGAGTCTTCCAGCGACTGAGCGCACTCCCAGTTTGAGCTGTGACATGTCAGGAGCACTGGGCAGCACGTTGGTCAGACGGTACGAGCTCGCTGTGAACACAAGACGAACAAAGAGAGTCAAGCAGACACACATACAGAGAACAGCAGGTCTCATGCAAGAGCCACTCGCAGATTTGTTCTAACGTGACAAACGTTTTTTTAGAGAATTTGTAGAGTACGAGTCTTGTACGAACAGTCTGTCTCCACAGACAAGACACTTTTGACTTAAATACAATATCTAATAGGGATGTATCCCAAAATGAAAATTCTTGGCAGTATACTTGGTAGTTTACAGTATTTAGCCTTTTTCTTTTTTTTTTAACCATAGCATAAATTTAATAGTCAAATTGTACCTTTTACTCAGCGTTTCCCCACAGGATTTGGAGAGACTATAGGGTTGAGTCCAAGGCCTGAGATGGTCCAGTAAAGTAAATTACATGTGTCCATTTACTTTTAATGGACACATGTAATATGTTTTATACTTTCTGTGAATATAATCCAATTAATCTTATTTCCATCCTGTATAGACACCTTATTTTGAAAACCGGACGTTGTCACATGTGTATCCTCGCGCTAAATTCATCAAGTCTGACCCAATTTGATAAATAATGTTGTATGTGGTTCTCGTATGGCGTAACATGAAGACTTCACAGCCTCTCTTCAGGTAGGACTCTCATACTGCAACACTTGTCTAGAGAGAAAATGACAGGATAAAGTTGCTAACCTGTCTGTCAGGTCGCACTGGTCTGTTTCAGTGGATTTACCATAAAGGCTTGAATATATGTGCACTCCAAATTTAGTTGCAGCTAGCTTAATTGCCTTCTCAATAAACGAGTGACAAACACTCAAAGCGGGTCAGACCGTTTGTTGCCTTTTCTAGAAGAAGTCTGCTACAGATGGAGAGGATGTGCTAGGAGACAATTAAGCAAAACAGTGTCTGCAAGCAGCAAGTCTTTCTCAGACATTTTAAAATCCTTCCACACTGCCGACATGTCAACGTAATTGTTTGGTAAAATTTCTTTGGTCTTTGACTTATCAGGCCGAACACCGAAAGTGCTTTTTTGCTATTTTCGGCTGATTAATTTCGTTGGCCGAACATTCGGCGCATCCCTAATATCTAACATTTCAGTATTAATATAAACAACTAGGCCTATGTTATATATATTTTGATGAGTTGTGTACTTAACATTATCCCAAATGTTTCCAACAATGTTTAAACGTTTCATTAGGCCGCCTGTCAATGGCGTCCTATCCTCTTTACCCCTCTAGGAACTCTAACTTCCAGGAAAACACGGTATTTGTCAGAGTCAGGAAGGAAGTCGGCAAATGTGACTGAAGGTAACATAAAACATTAATACATTACCTTGTCCAAGAACATGATTGACCCTGAAATCATCATCATCATCATGGTGTGGCAATTTACTAAGAGGTTAATTTTTAATGAATTGTTGACATATTTTGGCATGGCAACTTATTTCACTTGTTACTAGGACAGTTATTTCACTCTCACACTCCAACAGTGTAACGTCAGATAATATATCCACCTGCCATCTACGTCACAAACGGTTTTGATTTAGCATGTTTTGTTTTTAAATATCTAACTTCACATTAAATCTCATTACTATTGTCACAGTACAGATAGCACTGCTCTAATGGCACATTGTTGGGTTGTTTTAAAAAAAAAAAAAATCTTGGGTAACATTTTTGTCAATAAAACCCAAAAATGAAGCAGCCTTATATAGCAATTTGGGGATAATATGAATTCAAAATGTTCCTGCATGATGCTCAATGTGTCTCTACACAAACATTTATTTATATGTATCAATAACACTAATTTATGTGATAAGTATAATATAAGAACAGTTTGTACAAAGCCAGTGATTGTGAATTGGTCTCTTACCAGTCTGTTTCTTTGGATCATCAAAAAGGTCTGCTGAACTTATAGAGGCGCTTCCAGCAAATCTTTCCAGTCGTGTTTTGGCCTCGTACTGAAGAAAAGAAATACAGGACATATTTTTAAATGTTTAAAACTTTTCTCATAATCAACTAGAGGTCTTCACAGGTGTTCACTCAGTCCTGAGAGGCCAAGGAACGGAAACCACGTCAATTTATCTAATATCCGAGTGGATACAAATGCGTTACGGAAGAACCAGTATCTGATCATGTGGTGCATCATAATCACTGTGGGAGAAAATGATTTAGGAAATCAGTAGCTTATGTTATTTTCGAATTAGTTTATACGATTTTACATTTATTATTAGGACATCATAATTACACTGATGCTCTTTTCAACCACCTCAAATTGTTAGTGCTGCTACAGGTGCTACTGCTGCTACTGATCAGGTCTAATTATCCTTGTGACAAAAATATTTAATTAATTAGATAGGTCAGGTAGGTCATGTCCAAAAGTCAAGATATCCAACATGAAATGAAAATAGTCTAGTTTTAGTTATTGTAACTTTAAAAACTATATTGATCATCTACAATAAAAACCACAGAGTATGCAAGTCAACTTTAAACATGCACAACTCAGAATATACAGTATGCACAACATGTGGAAAGGGGAGGATGCATGTTGTCATTGTGTACCTCAGAGTTATCTTGTTTTCCAAAGTACATGTCGGAAGAGATGGCTTTCACATCTCCAAACTTTGTCCGTGCTTCTCCTGTGTCTGAGACTGGTACTGGTTCTGGTTTTCGTCTGGCTGTGGGTCTGATAAACAATGATTACAAATGGAAACAATTATGATATGATGCAATAAATCACACTTACCAATAGACATAGATAGACAGACAATAGATATTCTATTCAGTTGTCAAGTGTACACCTCATATAAACACTTTATTTTAACCAAATTTCAAAAACAAACTGTGCATCACATAGTATAATACAAAAATCCATTAGATAAATTTGTTTAGATTTATTTTCATGTGTAAAACATGACTTAATTTCATTAGTTTTAAATTCCTATTGCTTGAAAAAAATCATTAAACAGAAATTCAAAAAAAATGTAAAATGAAATCATGTGATCATTATTTGATTCCCCCCAAAAAATTGATAAACAATAACATACACTGCTTTGCAAAGAGTGTAACAGAATAAAAAGTTTACATTTCTAATGTAACAAGCAACAATAGTAAGTTGTGAAAAGGCATGTCACAGTCACAGCAACAGGATGTACATGACATTAAAACCCACAATATCTTACCTGTCATTCAATGATGAAATAGTGGAGCTCATGAAGAAATCCGGCTCTGGTTTCTTGCTCTTCTTCATCCAGCCTCCTCCGTCATCCCACCCAGAGGAGAAATTATCTGAGGTTTCTGTTTGATCCTCAAACCGGGACATGACCCTAAAGAGAGAACAAGTTCAGAATAATGTCATGTGAAGAAATGTTGTGCAATGTGTGAGAGCTGAATCAGCATGAAAAGGCAAGAATATACTACATGTAATACTGTACCAATGCAGAATATTGAATAACCCTTTTTTAACAGCAACAGTCGATTGTTTATCCCTTTAAAAACTGTGCAATAAAATAAAAAGAATTTAAATTTACTTATCTTTTTCAGAAAAAAAAATTTAATATAACATGTCAAAAATAATATTAATAATACCAGTAAAATAAATCCTGTACATAAATACACTTTTCTTTATCCGACCTTGAGCTGAAGGACCCCTCATCATCATCATCCTCTGTGAACCGTCGTCCTTTGGTGGTCTTGGTCCCCTTTGGATTCTCCTGCTGGATGATGTGCATGTCCGATGTCACAGAGTGAGACACTCCACTGCAGAGAAGCATAGAGACAGAGCGATAATGAGATCAAGAAACAGAGAGACGAAAACTAATTCTTAAATCGGCTACAGGATGACTAGTATTTGTCTCTTCATCATCATACCTCCTGATGCCTAGACCCATGCCCAGTCTCTCAGCTTGCTCTTTCTTGTTCCCCTCCAATCCCTTCAACTTCTTCTCCTCCATTTTCTTCTGCTGCTCAAGATCTTTACAGGTCAGTCGCAGCGATGGAGCGCTGAGGAGGAGGAAGACAGGTGAGTTTATCAAAGAAATGACTAGAGGAAAGTACAGCAGCAAACAGAAAACACAAATAAATACATATACTGACCACAAAAAAGGGTAGAAAAACATAATACATTATAAAGACTGACAAAGTGAAAGTAAAGACACGCACATGGATTCCTCATGTTGGAAACTCTTCTTGCCAACAGGAGTGCCGTCTTCTTTCTCTCTGAGCTTGTCGGCAGCTTGAGCCTTCTTCTCCAGCTCTGAGAAACTCTTACTGCTTACCTTCTGAGCGCCCAGACCACCCTTCTTAGAGGCCAACTAGAAGCAGACACATTTTACAAAACAAACTATGAATCGATGAACACACATACAAAACAAACTGTGAATACATACTTAGTTTAGAATGATATAAATGAGTAAATACTGTTTTCTTGGCAGCAGTTGGCTTCTTCTTAAGAAGAGACGAAGCCTCTGGTGAGATTGAAGGACAGTGAAGTTACATGTTGTACAGTTTAGAAATATCTCAGATATAAATAAATGGAAATAAAAGGAAAACATGAAGAATATAAGCCAACCTGGATTTGCTTTTGGAGAAACACTCAGCATCTCCACACTAGGACCCTCCTCTGGATTATCTGAGAACATTTAATGTATATATGATGAGCCACATAAATGGGATCAATACAACTAGTGCACGTTTGTATTTTGTGGTTATATTGTTCAGGAGAAACAGTGACAGTGAATACCATTATTGTCTTCCTCTTTTTCCGGGGTTAAAGGCAAATCAGATGTGGGGGAGCTCAGACACATTTTGGCCGTGTTCACAGTTTGAGGAACAGCCTGGGCATTAAACAGACACACATAGTGAAATTACCAATCCCTTGTCAATGTGTAGGTATTCAACAAGCAGATATGTGGGTAAAAATCACACTTAAAATAAGGCAAGCACACTGTTATACCTGTGAATGCAGACTGAAGAAATCCACCTGCTTGTCCTCTGGTGATGTTGGGGAGAGAGGAGCCTGACTGTCAAGCCACAACTATATGAAAGAAAAGCAGTAAAGGGGATACAGCCATGTATTAGAGATGTATCATGCAAAGTGTGATAAGCAAATAGGCACTACCCAGGAAGCCAAAGTTTCTGTTGGAGGAACCTGGAAGTGTAGAAAAACTGTATTACCTCAGTACCATGGCGTCTGGTGGCTTGCGTGGCTAAAGTCTTTATCTTCTCTCTGTACAGCTGAGCAGCTCGGCTGTTGTACTTGGCATTGGCAGCACTGGATGTGCACCCATGTTGATTGAAAAATGCAACCTGCCATATGAAGGTCAGAGCAGACACAGGAAAGCAGACATGGAGAATTAAGTTAAATTAAATGTGTGTCATGCAATGCTGGGATTTCAATCTGTTGATAGTGTGCTGATATTCTGCCTACAGGTACTGACCGCACTGGCATTGCCTCCCACTTGCATACATCTTAGCTGAAACCACGACCAATTGAAATCCAGCTCAGTCGACCTGTGTAACACAACAATGTCAGGATTTGAAAAAACTTTTCTTCAAAGATTTCAGTGTCATTAAATGGGTCTGACAGGGACAAACAACATCTCAGCTTCAAGAAGAAATATCTCCCTACCATTTTACTATCTGAATTGTTCTATTAATAAACTTGTTTTTTCTAATTATGGAATATTTCTAAGCTCATACATATTCATGCTTTTGCGTTTACTAGATTACTATAATTCTTTATACTCTTGCCTCTGCCAAGAGTTGCAGAGGCAACTAGAATTCAATGTAAAATTTGAGATGTTATCTATCAGGCTCTACACTGTAAAGCAGTCACCATAAATTAATTTAAAATGTCTACCGGATGTAACCAGAATGAAGATAGAATGAGTACTTGTTGTTATTGCCCCTAAACTTCTCACTATTAAATGATCAAATTCAAATCAATTTAAAATTATATTTTGTTACTAACGTTACCTATTTGGTATTACTTCCTAAATGCTTTTATTGTGGTTCTGAAAAGTGTTGTTAAGATTTGACTTACCTGATAAAGGACAAGTGCACTCCAAGAGACCTGTGTGTCCCAGAGCAATCAATACATAAGAATACACCATAGGTGATGCTGGCCCAACTGGGGTTTTTAACTGAGCAGTCAAAACAAGCCTGGGGGGTAAAAAGCACAGAAGATGCAGAAAAAAAAGCTTAATCTTAAAATTTAAACAGATAGAACAACTGACATTGTTTTGAAACAGTTAAAACTGAAGTTGATATGGATCATGAAATCAATTAAAGAGACGTGGAAGCAAACAATGTGAACTGTGTCAGGTTAAAACAACAACTGTGTAATCGTGGAGGTCTGAAGTACATGTTGCCTGTGATATTAAGTTAGCTAGATTGCTGCTGATTCAAACAGCTGTTGGCAAAGTCAGTTGAATTTCGCAATTACTTTATCTTTTAACGGTATAAAATGCACCCTTCCCTTTTTGCTTATCATTCAGGATGTATGCGCAGCAGTCTCACATATTTCCTACGGTACGTTAGCAAATTAAGCCTAAACAAACACGGCTAATGTCAGCTGTCAACGTGTTGCTAGCTAGGCTGTCAACCACTTCGCTAGCGTTACGTCTGGTTACAAGCCACATGTTTTCCGACATATTATTCATATATAACAAATGCTACTAGAGCACAATTGGAGTTTGTCAACAAATTTTAAACATGACGTATCTGGTAAATGTTAAATTACTATGGTACGTTAAAGCTAGCCTTGGCGTTTCTCAAAAGTGCGACGTGTCAGATATTTAACGTTACTTCAGCTTACTTCCTTGTTAAAGATATTAACGTTAGGCAATCTGAAACGCTCACCTTATTCGTAGGAATGGAGCGAAGTCGCTTAAAAATGGCTGAAATTTCCTGCTTGCTGGGTTCGGACATTTTTCTATCTGTAGGTTACCTGGCGTTTCAATTAATAGCGTGAACTAACAGCTGTGTTTTTCCGGTTTACCTCAATAATAACCGAATACGACACGTCGGTAGGAGAACATCGCTCTGATTGGATACAAATTACGCGTGGTTATGTTATTGTAGCAAGGGCTTCTGGGTGATGAAGTTCACCTTCACATCGGAAGCTCCAGTTGTGTTTTCACAGTGGTGGAGGAAGTATTTAGACCCGCAGCTCAAGTCTTAAAAGTAAAAATACCTGGATGGTCATATGTTTGTATACATTTAATATAAATGTAATTACTGTTCAAGCTTTGGATTACATCAACCTTTAATTCAAGTTTAATTTACTGCATCAGCTTTTTATCGCTCTACATAAATTACACAAATATAAGTAAAATCACTTACCCCTCTGCGTTTTTAGAGGAATGTACATTCCATCAGACAAATATGAAGTAAACACAAAAATATTATTATACAAATATCTTAAAATGTGTGGAATTGATGTACAAAGTTGGACAAGCTTCCACCACTTGTATGATTCTAAGGTTACATCTGGTAAATTGAATTTCATTAAGTGAAATTTAAGTATGTTAGTATGGCATTTTGCTTATTTTTACTTGAACATACATGAAACAACTGTACTACAGATTTGCAGACTTCATATTTACTTTAACATACAAATATTGACAGTGATTGACATCTACTAATGTGTCCCTGAGGAAGACACTTAACCCCTAGTTGCTCCAGAGGTGTGCAACCTCTGACATATATAGCAACTCTAAGCCAAAGTCGCTTTGGATAAAAAGTGTAAGCTAAATACAAAAAAGTTAATAATAAATTAACTATATTCAAAACGTTTTAAGGACCTTTACGTGAACACAAATCCGCTTTTTGAGATACAGTAAATACTTTGACATCATAAGTGAAAAGAAAATGTTAGTACTGGAGACAAAGACAAAATATTTTTCCCAATAAATTTATTTATTATGTTGTGGGACATTTTTACATACCTTACTGTTGCTGTGCTTTGATGACAGTGTGCCGTGAAAACATGGCAAGACATCTACTTTATCTAATTTTCAAAGACAACAAAAATTCATCTAACTCTTGTGCAGCAATTAAAGGCATCAAATAGCTTTTTCAAATTATTTTTTTTAATGATTTCATCGATACACCAGGCAATGAATTTGGAGCCTGCACAAGAGAAATACCAGCAGTCAATTTCTGCAAAAATGCAAGCCGACAAAATACTTGATGACAAACACGTGTTAAGCTCATGGAATCAGGTATGTCCATTCATGTCATAACTGAATGTAATGGTCTTTGTTGCTTAATTCAGTGAGCATGGCCCTCTGTGAAGGGAAAAAATAATCATATTTACAAATATAAAATAACAGATTTGAGGGATATTTGCCATAAAATATTCAATTACTATACAAACTGATTCTCAGTCACAGCATTCTAACAAGAGCAGAACAAAAGCACTTCTGGCGTCATAAATTAAAAATCATCAATTTCCAACTACATACCATCTGATCTCGATGCTTAATTTGTTCTAATATGTTTCATCCAGGCTATATACATGCATGTATGCAAGGCCATAGTTGGCTGTGGTTTTATTGCTATAACTTGTAATATATATTTTTTTAAAAACAAACAAAAAACCCTGAAACACACTAAAATATTCTCCCATAGCTTTACATTTAACAAGAACCGAGAATTAAAACATGGAGATTCAAGTGAGATAAACTTTTGTGAAAAATCTTCAGTGTTGTGTGAAAAATATCTCATAGTATCACAATCTCCAATCAGAAAGTAGAGAGATGTGTGTGAAAAGCTAAAGGACAGTTGTCCAGGGGGTTAATGGGTCAGTGGCTGCAAATACCTCATCAAGATCAGCAAAAGTGTACAATCAATAAGTGAGAAAATACAATCAGTGAATATACATTCAACAGCAGTGACTAGAGGGACCTACCCACTGTGAACTAAATGAAGAGTATGTCAGGATAAGGCTCTACTGATCTTTATCATTCCTTATAAAATAACCAGAACAGTTAAGGAACTGAATGGAAAAAAACAAAACCCTGAAAGAAATGACAGAACAATATAAGCACTAGTTTAAAATCAAGTAAAATCTGACAAAAAGCTGGTCTTGTCCAAATAAAATCAAACAATTAACATTTATGGACTGGATTCTAACAGGCAGAAATGGTTTCAAACCTAAAACAGATCATTATGGTTATTTTGAGGGTCATCTCCCTTAATGAATCCATAGTGGCTTGTATTTTAAGGCTGCATGTAACGTCACTAGACGATTTGCCATCCCAGTGTTTTGTTTAAACAGAATACAAATTCACACATACATCTCATTTAATCTTATCTAATATATACTTGAAAAGCTATTATTTTTGTAACAGCATAAATGGGATTCTAAGTAACATAACATATCTTCCACTGACAGCAATTGTTCTCTGTGATCTTCCTCTCCTGGAATCACCTGGAAAGTTGTGGTTAATTTCCATCTTTGTACTTTCTATGAGGGCCGATCTGTGGCAAGCAAAACTATCTCAAGTAGTCCTTTCATAATCTGCAACTTCTCTTCTCTGTCCTTCTCACACACCAGTGCAGTCTTCACCAACAAGGAGAAAAGGGTTGAAAATAAGGCAGAGGCCTCTCGCTTCCAGCTGTACAGTCATTTCACAAAACATTTCACTTTCTTCACATTTATTCAACTGTCATAATTCATTACTGGATGTCTTCCACATAGTTAGCAGGATAGAGGCCTGTTTGTCCATTCTTGAGCCGGCCTTTGCACCAACCCTGATCATCTTCTTCGCCAATTTTGGTGAACTCCTCCCCTGGGAAAAAAGGAGGGATGGGTGATTATTTGTATTCCAGAAACCTACTAGGAAATGTCAGAATTGTTCCTTGCATTTACCTGCTTTGAAGCTTAGCTCATCTTGCTCCTGTCCTTCGTAGTCATACAGGGCTTTAACAGGTACAGATACGACTGGAGAACCTGGCTCATCTTCGAATGGATTCCCATCTCCATTGGCGGAGAAAGGGTTACCGCCTGTGTCTTCATCTGACCAGTCTGGAGTCTTCTCCACACTGCTTGCACTAGATGGACAGACAAAAGAGCTGCTTAGAAAATGTATTTTCATGTTCATCTCAGGACCTTATGCATCAACAGGACAATCCCGGCATATAACGGCATAAGCAGGGACAAAAGTTAAAAAGTTAGAGAAGTGGGAAAAATAAACATAAATCTACATAAAGTAAAGTCAAATCACAAAAGGCCAAAAGTGCATCTCCAAATCCAGGGGCAGCTTTGTGATTTATCCTGAAAACATTCCTCTTTCAGTTCTAAATAAAGTAAAAAAAAAAAACATGCTACAAAGCAAGCATTTGGTTCAGGCAGCATGACAACCGATTTAAGTCACTTTTATGCTACTTTAAGATCAAGAGCGTCAAGTGAGAGTGCACACAATGCTGAGGGACGGCAATGCAACAAAACAACATGACCACATACCACATAATACACAAAATACAGCAACATGAGACCAGGCAAGACAAATCATTGTTGTGAATGCATGATTGGAGTTTAACCTGAACTGCCAACAGAGGGAGCCACCTAAACACCAGAGAGAACCTGGCTCTGACAGAGTTACAAAGCTGAAAAACAGTAAAGGCACATCCGCACATACATAAAGGATTTACAGTCAGACCTGTTTTATTGCAAATTTACTACTTTACCGGCTTTTGTCTTCTGCAATTAAGTAAATATTTGAGATGATTTATGCCTAAGGTTGAATTAACATAGTTGTATCTTAATTGTTCTTTTTATATATTTGTATTTGGACTTCTTTTGATGCCATACAGCCAGTTAATTATCTCATATAAAAGACCAATATATCACAAATGGGTCAATATTCAGATCTGACTGTAAGACAGAAACATATTGGATTTCCCACAGCAGAGACACGTGCCCCCATGCTCATGACATTTAATGTTCAGCGAGACATGGCACTGTTAGGAGTGAAGGACAGACACACATTGGGCTTTGTGTGAAGTGCCATTTCAGTGACCATGCAGAGCAACACGATAACCTGCCACCTGAGGGAGGAGAGAGGGTTACGAAGAAGAAGGGCGTTAAGATAAAGAAATGGCAAGAGACGCGGCGATCCATGAAACATAGATAGACGGGATGCGGTCCAACAAAGATAGAAAACAGAAAAGGCGGGGGAGGTCGTAGGTGGGCGGAGTTTTCTCCTGTTCACCAACATTTTTTTTTCCTCTTTATTCACACTGATGTGGTTGACTGTGGGCTGCTGCTCCACGACCATCTTCTCCTCCTCCTCCTCTGCCTCCTCCTCCTCTTCTTCATCTTCAAAGGGGTTTGAGCCCACTGGTGCTGTTTTAGTAGGTACAGTCAGGCTGACAACATGGGACACAGTGAGAGATGGGTTGTTGACATGCACACAAATAAAGACACACCTGTGACATACATGACCTGTGGACAAATTCCAAAGAGTAATGAAGCCCGGCTAGGTTGATGTTGATAGTTGTGTTGTGTGTTTTTAACTGTTGTGATGCAGCACGGCAGACCTGTCCAGCTTTGGATTTCAGCACATGTCGAAGCAGTTTGCACGGGGCTGCTATAAGACCGATACGGTTTCTAAAGAGTTTAGAGGACGGTGTCTTTTTTTTTATTTTTTTTTTAGACCTTTTGATAAACAAAAACAGATTTAACAATGTGTTTAGCTGTTTCAATGCAAATGTTAGTATACCCGGCTTACGGGTTTACTACATACTATATTAGCTACTTCCTAGGCCAAGGAGCAGTTTCATTAGCTAGCCAACTACATTTTTACTTGTATTTCCTATCTGAAAGCTGGTCCAGGATGCTATCACACACAGTAGGGTAACGTTAGCAGCTTTTTCCTGCCAACCCCCTATCCGAGATAACGTTACATTTACCAACTCATCAGTTAGTCATCATCCAAAAAGCATTTTCTCTGGTATTTAACATTGAAATGGAAACAGTGTTTGAAAATGCAACCAATAAAGCATACGTCT